GAGTTCATTATCTGGAATTTGTCTCATTAAGAAGCTGGGAGTAGGGGCGAACTCTTTCTGAAAGAAGAAAGAGATGAGCTAGTCCAGCAGATGGTTGGAGGATTAGGATTGCTTCTCTTACGCAATTAAGTCAATTGCATCGACGAGCCTTCCTTTTGCCTTGATTTCCCCGACTTATCTTACTGACAATGCAAAGAAGAAGAAAAAGAATTGAGCGAAAGGAAGAGAACAGAAAACAAGAAAGCAGGAAAGAAGACTCAGCCAAGACCCATCCTTGTGCCAACTGCTACAGTGATCGAAGAAGAAGGTCAGTCCTTTGCCAGCAAAGCTGAAAGAAAGGGAGGGTTTCCATGAAGCAAACCTAGAGGGAACTCCCCTTTGCAGCTGAGACTGCTAATCAGTTGTCAGTCTGGTTGCATTCCCTTGGTACCAAGGAGAAAGAAGTCTTAGGCGTGGACTTAGCAAGCTCCAAGCTATCCTGCAGCACGTGTTGATATTGCCATTCGCAGCTTGACTGATCCCAGTTCTGCAGCAAGTTAAAAAGCACAGCACAATCGAGCTCTATAACGATCTGGGGGGAAGACTTTGGCAAAGTTCCAAGGCCTTTCTTAGAGCAAGGCATTCAGTTCCAAAAGCAGAGGAAGTCCTTCTTTCCATATAATCAATTTCAATCTCGCCCGTTTAGTTACGTGAGCGCTAAAGGACGAACCCTTCCCTATGATCCTCATTCCTTAACTAGATCAAGTCAAGGGCGCTAGCCATTAGAAAAGAACTGGACTTCCCCAAGACAACAACTTTACTTGAGAACAGAGACACCAGACACTATCGATTCTCCAATCACTTGACTTCCAGCTGAGAGCAAAAGGAATGCATAGCTGTCTTAGATGAGATATCCCCTTCGGGTTCATAGACTATGAAGCTGAAGATGAGAAAGAGTGATGCCACTTGACCGATAGTCCGAGGTATGGAATCGCCCCTATCAGATAAAGGCAAAGCGAGAGGAACAAGCAACGGAATTAGCGCCCTGGCGCGAAAGCCCCCACTTAGTTTAGTAAAGGCGTTAGTACGAACAAGCAACGGAATTAGCGCCCGTTAGCGAAAGCCCCCACTTAGTTTAAGGCGTTAGTCACGAACAAGCAACGGAATTAGCGCTCTAGCGCGAAAGCCCCCACTTAGTTTAAGGCGTTAGTCACGAACAAGCCCGCTACGAATAAAGGCGCCCGTTAGCGAAAGCCCCCACTTAGTTTAAGGCGTTAGTACGAACAAGCAACGGAATTAGCGCCCTAGCGCGAAAGCCGTTGCGCGTTAGTACGCGCAGCCGTTTTCTTGCTGCTTTAGTTTGATTGCTGCTTTAGTTTGATTGCTGCTTTAGTTTGATTGCTGCTTTAGTTTGATTGCTGCTTTAGTTTGATTGCTGCTTTAGTTTGATTGCTCCGCCTAGTTTTCTTGCTCCGTTTTCTTGCTGCAGGAGTTTTCTTGCTTGCTGGGTAGGGAGTTCTTCTTTAAGGGCCTTCGCCTGCAGTTGCTGTCTTAGGATTGAGACCGATAGGAAAAGGTATGATCTCACTCTTTCTAAGCGAGATACAAAGTTTTCCGATAAGGAGTGAAGGAAGGCTCCAAGTCAGTCTATCTATACAGCCTAGTATCCCATACTCTAAACTTGAAAGATAGGCCTTTCTCCGATCATGCCTTATCCATGTCATTCCTCGCCTTCGAGCTAACGTTCACGTTCTAAAGATATATTATCCCTAAAGGAGTCTAATCCCAACCCATTTCTCCCATCAAGCAAGCATCAGAGGTTGTCAAAGCCAGTTTTTCAGTAAGAAAGCTTAGGAAAGCAGGACTAGTGAAAATGACAGGAAGCACTATGGACTTTAGCAGGAGTCTTGAAAGCAGTAGTATTTTAAGTAAGTTCCTTGGCAGGCGAATTCTAGTCCCACCTAATCAAAAGCATTAGCCCTCTATTCTGCTTTCCAGGGCTAAGTCTTTCGATAGCGGTCCAGGCGTGCAATTGTTTAGCCTTTTAGAGTTGTCCCCAAGGATCTTTCTAGTTGCTTCTTTCCTGTACTAAGTATACTCGGTTCGGAGTGAGCTTGCATATGGTTGTAATAAGTAAAGAGAACAACCATTGAGAAAGGAATTTCTACTACACTACAGCTTTGTTGCTTCGGTTTAGCAGTCCGCGTTAGCAAGCAGTCCAACTATGGCTATGGGAGGATCCCTTATGCAACTGTTTTCAGTAGTACGCCTAGAAAAAACCAATATGTTTTTCCTAAGTTCCTAAGCTAAGAGTGAAAAGGTACTGGTACAAAGATCTTAGCCTCTCAAAAGAGATGTGCGAACGCTAGTCCTGACTTGAGTAGTCATCAATAGAAAGAGCTAGGCGGTACAACAAAACATAAAGGAATGCTTAGATTCACTCTGGTATACGCTCCAAAGCCAAGCTTTACGAAAGAAAGAGTCCAGGGATCGGAAGGAGATTTTTATGCCTCACACAGGCAATTTCGCTAGGCTCAGCAGATAAGACGGGATTGAACTAAGAGAACATTCCTATCATCAAGAAAGTCGGCTCCATCAATGAATTACTTGACCCTAACATTGCTATTCTTAATAACCTCAAAGAGCATCCTTTAAAGCGGGGTCCGCCTCAGGGCGATAAGAATACTTACTATATAAATAAATATAAAGCATAAAGAGCCACTCATTCAAATTGAAGGGACGGTGTAGAACTCAACCTCTAGCCTCGTGCGTATGCGTATAAAATAAGGAAACGAAACTCAGCAACTACTTTGAAGAATTAGCTGCGGATGCAGGTGCGTATGAATAGTGAAAGAGTCAGGAAGTTCTCCTTATTCGCTCCTCTTCCCTTTCTCTGCTAGCCGCATAGTTAGAAGAGCGAGTGGCCCATTACGTTAGAAGGCCTCTCCAGCTTATTCGATAGGGGCGAGTGGCTACGCACATTCACCTCGTAAACTCGGAAGCATGCTTCGCTCACTTGCTTGCATCTCGTATAATTCATACTTATTATAAGCAATTCACATTCATTCGAAAATCGGATTTCAACCTTTCGATACTTAACTTATAGGCACCTTGAAACTGGGACTGAGACTGGCTCGCTGGCTTGACTTGCTTGCAGGAACTTCAGATATCTCTTTTGCCTTAAACTTAAAGAATCCAATTGCAACTCACACCCCAGGGAAGGCAACTGACTCAGAGGAGGGGTTGACAGATACAGATAACCCACAGGGCACTCGTACTAACAATATGATTTTACCCTCTGGGGCAGAGACTAGACACAACTTACCCCCGGAGACTAGGCAAGACTAGCAGGGAACTGGTCTTTTGGATATGTCTTACCGGAAAGAAGCTCGACTGAAAGCAGGTGCTAACTCGATCCCGATTCTCTTTCAAAGGGGGTGCCATATCCCGCGAAGGGTGAGAAAGACGTAGGAGGTCGTACATCGAAATTCTGGCAGGAATAGTGGCCAATTGAGTCACCAGGTCATAGTCGAACGCTTCGTTCAGACTAGGTGGATTGCTCCCTCTGGCGAGCTCTTTTCTTTGTAAGGGCCTTAGAGGTTCTGCCAATTTCCTTAACACTTCTGTGCAATTGCAATCACGGTGCTAATTTTTTCCCGACCGGGTGAGAAAGTCCGTCCTCCTCATTAGTAGGATCCGACTCGGAATCCCTGACTGCATTTCCTTCCTCTATCATTTTGGGCTTATCTACTTTTGTGACGAGGACGGGTCAGACCCCCTACACCCCCAATGCCCCCTCTTGTTCTCCCCTTCGTCTTTCTCAACAACAACCACGTGGCAGATTGCCATAGCACCTGGGGACCCTTGGTCTGGCCCTGGGCCGTGGTATTTGAAGAAAGGACGGCAGGGCGAGCACATGTCTGGCCATAGTTGCTCTTCTTCCTTATCTTGACTCATGGCGTCTTCATCAGTGAAAAAAGTCAATCCTCATCCTCATAATCATCTTCCTCCGTAAGAGAAAAGGGACCACGGCCGCCATGCCCCCTGTCCATTCTAGCTATCAAGGTGAACTTGCCCCTCTTTCTTCCCAGTGAGCCTCCGCGTAGCAGGCCTCGACACACCTCTGCAACATATGGCCTCTCCCCCATGGCGAGTATATGCTAGCTTCAGGCGGGGTAGGAAATGCTTTTGAAAAGATGCCTTCGGGTATCTCTTCCCCTTCATACATTCGAGAGAAACCTTCCCCTTATCTTTAATAGCATTGCTATCGCTAATCTCGAAATCTTCAAGCAACTCGATTAGGGTAGGCAGTGTGCATTCTTCTCTCGGCTCTAGAACAGGAATCGGGGAAGTTAGCCTTTATTCTTTCTTTGCCAAAGCAGGGCCCACCGTTATCATGCATGATGAAACCTCTTGGTCTTCATCTGAGGAGTGGTTTTCTTTCTCTTTTGGATTGCAGGAGGTCCGCAAGGGTGATCGGAACCCTTAATTCTTGCTTTGGGGAGTCATCGGGCACTTTTTCCTTCTTCTTAGGCTGCTTCTTACTTCTATATTTTATTCATCTTTCACTTCTCTTACTTCCTAAAATTGGACTTTTGGCTGTTGTGATTCTACGGTTTAGAGCATTACCAAGATAGCTAGTTAGCTCCTAGTAGCTCTTAGTGGACTTCGCCGTTCTTTCCCAACGACTTTTATTGATTCGTGTCCAGTAAGGGAAGACAGAAGGGAAAGGGAGGAAGTAGAATTTGGTGTGGTGCTATCGTAATCGTATAAGAAGATCAAGGTTTCATTTCACAAAAATCCTCCTATCTTTTCGGACAGATAAGATGTTATTAAGGCAAGGAAGTCACTTCTTGCACAGATTACCCGCTACGCTCTTTGCTTTATGGCTTACAGGAGTACTTGACTAGCCTGCTTGACTGATCTTACAGTTCTCGAATCAGCTCTTAGGGGGGTAATTATGCTTAACACAGGGAGTTCGGGCATTGCAAACAAAAAAGTGAAAGAAGGGATTGAGAGAGGGGATAAAGGGATTTTGCTCTGCAGATGAATTGAAAGGATCGCATTCTCTACTTCTATCATTTGTGCTATCGTATATAAAGAGAAAGGAAAGGCTTAGGAAAGGTGCTCTTAACTAACAATTGCATAAGAGAAGAAAGCTGTTAACGTAGGTCGGATCAACGCGGCGATCAATGCTATCCGACTGGAATGATCGAATCGATTCACTTTTGACTTGATCGAGATTGGGTTGGTGTTCAGTGTACTAAACAAGCAACGAGCAAGAAAACCATCAATAACAATAAATCAAATGATTATCTGATATAACTATAATACACGTAGAATGAGTTCCTTACTAGGGTATTATTAGTATATTTTTCTAAATCATAAGATAGAAACAAGCTCAATCATACCTCTCCTTTACAAGACAAGCAAGTAATCTTTATCCTGCCCCCCCTTATCATATTCAGGCTAAATCTAAAGAGCCATTTGCTTGTTTTCGCCCGGGGAACTACTTAGAAGTGAAGGGCCTCTCCTTCTTTAGAGCGAACGAGAAAAAGAAAAGAATTCCCTATTGGGGGATCCCCTAACGTAATAGAATATCTCTCCTTTGCTGTTCACTCACGCGATATTGCTGGATCGGGCTTTCGCCCTTATACGAATACGATACGATAGGGGGAAATTCGATACAAGACAAGTATCGGATCGGTAGCATAACTGCTTTCGCGCAGCCCCTTACCCCGCCCCCCTTTATCTCATTAAGGCTGCTAAAGCCGTAGCTTCTGAATCGTAGAATACTACGGACAGCGAGAGGCGGCTAATATCAAACTTAGAGTGTGAGACATAACCTGTCCCCACACCTTATTTATGCTTTACCATCACATAAACCAGATGCAGTTACAAGTGAGGCCTCCACTAAAGTCGAGGTATTGCCAAACGATGGCATATACGCCAGCAGGGGCACGAGCAGAGCTCCTAGCTTCCTACCAGTACGCATAGAGGCGATCATCTGGCGCCTTACACCCTGTAGTTATGCTTGGGCCGTTAGCCACGTGCTAGTAGGCATACGCAAACACTATCGCCTTTTAGTATTCCATCAGATGTATCCCTTGTTAAGAGAGTTTCCTCTCTGGGACATCGCAGCTCACAGATTGTGTTAAACACAACGGCTGTACATCTGAGAGGGTTACTATCAGATGATAATAGTCTGTTTCTGACTACTAACACTGGTGTGACCAACTCGGCTACGCACGTAAGAAGCTCTAACTAGAGATATCCTGAATAAAGCCGTAGCTTCTTTCTTTCGCTAACGTGCTTGTTTCCTTATCAGTCTGAGATCGAAGAGCGCTGCCCGCTCTTCGATCTCCGTATCCGTATATAGAGAAGAAGAAGTCAAGGGGCTGGCTGGCAAGGTTGGGTCGAGACGAGAGTTGGCTAGAATTGGCTCTAAAGTAGGCTCGAAAGGGTTTCGAAAGTAAGAGTTAGGTTGGCTCCAAAGTAGGCCGGCAAGGGGTCTGAGAACGGTTGAGGTTGGGTCGGGGTTACGCCTTGGGGTTGTGCTAGGAGGGAGAATTGGAATCAGTTCAATGCATTGCATATAAGCTGCGGAGTACTTACTTAGTAGCTCTCCCAGAGCTGCCCGCTCTTCGATCTCCGTATCCGTATATAGATAGATTCGATCTCCGTCGTATCCGTATATAGAATAGATAGAGCTGACAAGGAGTACTTTAGGGACGGAACTCGCAAGCAAGGAGGAAGGAGAAGTAGAAGAAGGGCTCGGAGGGTTGGTTCGAATTGGCTCTAAAGTAGGCTAAAATTGGCTCGCAGGTAGAGCGGGCTCGAAAGTGAGTATAGGCGGAGAAGGTTGGCTAAGAAGTAGGGGAGAAGTAAAGTAGGAGAAGGTAAAGTGAAGTTGGCTCGAAAGAAGGGTTGGCTTAGGCTCGGAGCGGAGGTTGGAGAAGGGTTACGGGTTAGGGGCCTTAAACAGGATAGGGCTAGCTGACTGAAGGCCTTATACGGGATAGGGGTTCAGTTCAGTCCCTATCGTGCACACACTGATTTGTCCTGTTCAGTCCTGTGAGTGCATACGCTGATTTGTCCCCCGCTCGTGCCCCCTACCCTAAAGGTCATTCGCCTTAAGGAAAGATGAAGCAACAAGTAGGAATGAGAACAAGCATTGAAAATGACATAAATAATCAGAACATCGCATCTCAGACAGTATCTATTTGGCGATTGAGAAAGCGCCCTTGAGGTGTAGTACCCAATGAGCTCTCCTATAGTGCCTCGAAATGAAGCCGGAGAGCTTCAAGCTTAAGGGCAACCTGAGATCGCCTAAGATCGAATGGAACTGTCTTTGATTGAGTGAGACGGAAGAGAGATATATAGACAGTGTGTAGTGATGGAATTCTAGTCAGTCTTTACTTAACTCGAACCGCCTACATTAAATCAATTGATTCGTAATGGTAGAAAAGGAAAAACGGCGCACGGACCGTACTAGAGCTTCGGATCAATGTCCCCAGAAGCAAGGAGTACGCCCTTCAACGAGAAAAACACCGAAAATCCCTTTTTCTTTCGTTTTGCTTCTCCCGGTCGTCGAGCCTGATCGACTCGACTCTTTTCCCATGTTTTTCTTGGTTGGACCAACCCAACTGGCGATTTCCGTCTTCCTGAATTGGGAGAGCAAGCAAGAAAAAGAAAGTCTCTCCTTTTGGGAGCAGAGCAGTCAAATAATGAACCAAAGCAAATGATTGTTATTGTTCTAAATCAATTATTTATTAGTTTCAAATTCTTAACGATTGCTCTTTGTGATGCAGCGGAACCATGGCTATTAGGGTTTCAAGACGCAGCAACACTTATGATGCAAGGAATAATAGACTTACATCGCGATATCTTTTTCTTCCTCATTCTGATTTTGGTTTTCGTATCACGGATCTTGGTTCGCGTTTTATGGCATTTCAACTATCAAAAAAATCCAATCCCGCAAAGCATTGTTCATGGAACTACTATCGAGATTCTTCGGACCATATTTCCTAGTATCATCCCGATGTTCATTGCTATACCATCATTTGCTCTGTTATACTCAATGGACGAGGTAGTAGTAGATCCAGCCATTACTATCAAAGCTATTGGACATCAATGGTATCGGACTTATGAGTATTCAGACTATAACAGTTCCGATGAACAGTCACTAACTTTTGACAGTTATACGATTCCAGAAGATGCTCTAGAATTGGGTCAATCACGTTTATTAGAAGTGGACAATAGAGTGGTTGTACCAGCCAAAACTCATCTACGTATTATTGTAACACCTGCTGATGTACCTCATAGTTGGGCTGTACCTTCCTTAGGTGTCAAATGTGATGCTGTACCTGGTCGTTTAAATCAGATCTCTATTTCGGTACAACGAGAAGGGGTTTACTATGGTCAGTGCAGTGAGATTTGTGGAACTAATCATGCCTTTACGCCTATTGTCGTAGAAGCTGTTCCTAGTAAAGATTATGGTTCTTGGGTATCCAATCCATTAATCCCACAAATCCCGAAGTGGGTTCGAAGCCTAGAGGACCTAGGCTTGGTTACGGTTTCATATGCTGATGCGGTAGGAGGTGTGGACCGTCCTCCAACGCCGCCAGCTGTCGAACTACCAGGGGCAGCTATACAAGCTCCCGAAGGTCCCCTAGAGCCACCAGCTCCCCCACAACCAGAAATACCAGAATTGGAACACCCTCTGCTCTCGGATGAAGTACGAGGCGACATACTGTATTCCCGGTATGGAATCCTCAATTTCGGGGGGGATGATGGGCTTAGACGTCTGAGCTCGATCATCTCTCATCAAGTAATGGTGGAGCGCTCCGTGGAGGCAGCATTGGTGGATGATGGATTTCGTCCCAATTCGATTTTAGCTAGATATACCGAAATTAGGGGAGTTATCCATTCTCCGCAAGGGGAGCTTTTGACTGAACGCACCTATAACTCATACGTCACTCAGATAAGGGAACGTGGCACCCGACAAAGCGTTCCCTATCGGCGTGTGATCCAGGCCGTACGCAGCTCTCATCTTCTTTTAGAGAGAGCAGATGGTCGGTTTCCCTAGTAGAAGTGGGAATTGGGGGAATTCCTGTCTTCCTTTTGTGATCTCCCATCTTTACCGGAACTATCTAAAATTGGGGGATCACAAAAGGAAAGGAGCAATTTAGCACCTTAACAACCGATTTCACTTTTTCTATAAGACGGAAAATTTGGTTATTCATTTTGGCTTTTTCAAAACCTTTCTTTTTTCGGTATGCCGCTCCGCGAGCAAGGAGTGCCACGCACGAGCGGAGCGAAAACAAAGCAAGGGGAATTCGGAGAAATCCTTTGATTGCGTATTGAATATAGATCCATGTCTTTCTTGTTCCACTAGCTAGGACCAAATTCTCACATGTCCCTTTCGTTATTACAACCTTCTTTTTTTATGTCAAAGACCAGAAGCTACGCGCAAATTCTCATTGGATCTCGGTTGTTCTTAACAGCGATGGCTATTCATTTAAGTCTTCGGGTAGCACCATTAGATCTTCAACAAGGTGGAAATTCTCGTATTCTGTATGTACATGTTCCTGCGGCTCGGATGAGTATTCTTGTTTATATCGCTACGGCTATAAACACTTTTTTGTTCCTATTAACAAAACATCCCCTTTTTCTTCGCTCTTCCGGAACCGGTACAGAAATGGGTGCTTTTTTTACGTTGTTTACCTTAGTTACTGGGGGGTTTCGGGGAAGACCTATGTGGGGCACCTTTTGGGTGTGGGATGCTCGTTTAACCTCTGTATTCATCTCGTTTCTTATTTACCTGGGTGCACTGCGTTTTCAAAAGCTTCCTGTCGAACCGGCTCCTATTTCAATCCGTGCTGGACCGATCGATATACCAATAATCAAGTCTTCAGTCAACTGGTGGAATACATCGCATCAACCTGGGAGCATTAGCCGATCTGGTACATCAATACATGTTCCTATGCCCATTCCAATCTTGTCTAACTTTGCTAACTTCCCCTTCTCAACCCGTATCTTGTTTGTTCTGGAAACACGTCTTCCTATTCCATCTTTTCCCGAATCTCCTTTAAGGGATGAAATAGAAGCTCGAGAAGGAATAGCAAAACCTAGTTCACTTCCCCTGAGCGCGATGTAATCAAACTTATGGTTGACGCCGTAGAGAATATAAAGCCCATATGCGAAGTGGAAAAAGTAGGAGTAGTTGGTACTATTTATGATGTCCCTGGGATTGTAGTCTTTAACTTAATTTCTCTCCTTTTCTCTTAGCGTGCACAGTTTGCTTGCATGCCGCTTTAGGCACATCTCTCTTTCTTAGTTTCACGCTGGCCTAATTGAATGAAAGTCAGTCTTTTAGTAAGCGTATATAAGCAGCTGTTTAGTGTATAAGCAATTTCTTAGTGGCCGCACCGAAAGGGCTGATAAAGTTAGTGAGGCGGTGGAGGTTGGTTGAAGATGATGTTACGCGGCGTTCAGAACCAGCCTTGAAGTGAATGAATTAGAAAGAACGGGAAATGAGACGACTCTTTCTTGAACTATATCATAAACAGATCTTCCCCTCCACACCAATCACGAGTTTTTCTCCATTCCTCTCGTATATCGTCGTAACGCCCTTAATACTCGGTTTTGAGAAAGACTTTTCATGTCATTCCCATTTAGGTCCGATTCGGATCCCTCCGTTGTTTCCTTTTCCTCCCGCACCTTTTCCTCGAAATGAGAAAGAAGATGGTACACTCGAATTGTATTATTTAAGTGCTTATTGCTTGCCAAAGATCCTACTTCTACAATTGGTAGGTCACCGGGTTATTCAAATAAGTTGTGTTTTCTGTGGTTTTCCCATGTTACAACTTCCGTACCAATTCGGTCGATCCGGAATGGATCGGTTAAACATTCCATTAGGGAGCCTGGTCTTGACTCTTCTGTGTGGTATTCATTCTCGTTTGGCTCTTGGAATCACATCCAGCAGTGGTTGGAACAGCTCGCAAAATCCAACCACTTCACCTACTTCATTGCCCCCAACCGTTTCTCGTACCTCTATTGAAACAGAATGGTTTCATGTTCTTTCATCGATTGGTTATTCCTCTCCGTTTGTATCTCTTTTTCCAATTTCGGTCTCGATTAGTTTACAAGATTGAATGGCCAATTCTCCTCCGGACCCTCGATTCGATTGTTTTCCAAGAATGTTGAGCCGGGTATGTAAGCCATGTATCTGGGAGGAACTTAAAAGAAGGGCTTTCGGTTTTTTTCACCCTGTTTTGGTCTTGCAGCTATTTCACTATAATATATATATATATATTAATCTGTATTCAACAATAAGGTAGTAACAACCTTAACTAATATCATAGTGGTTGCTCTATGGTATTAGGATCTTTCCCTGATTAGGGCGGACGCCCCCCCTCACATTCTTAACTGAATGGGTTAAGGAGAGTAGAGGTCTGCTGCTTACTTCTCACTAAGTCTTTCAATAGCCTGATTATGAATCAGTTATTTACTCAACTTAATGAGAGGCTAGCTTCAGTCTCTTGGCGGAGTATGTTTGAACATACTCGGCGGCTAAGGGGATTCTTAATCCGAATTACCTTAGTCGTCACCGGAAGCCTGAATCGCGAGTCAGGGGTTATTACCCGCACGAAAAGTGCTTACTCTGGTCCGGACGTCTGGACTCTTATTCACGTCTCTCTATTTGAAACAGTGTTCAACCTGCTTAATGCGGTTTTATGCTGGAGTAGATGATGAGAGTCTGAATAAGTTGTCCGGGCCAGCCTTATCCTTGAGCAAATCAGGAATTCCTCGTATCATTCCTGTTCATCATCGACATATAATAATGAAGCACGATGAACGGGCTGATCGATTGGTACGTTTATATCTTTCTTGGTTTTCGATTAGTCGAATCATACTTTTGGCTAAACGGCCAAAAGTCTGTCTTCGATGGTTGAACCCATTAAAGATATGGACCCAATCAAGGAAGTATTGGGATATGTTAAATACGCTTTTAAGACCATACAGTCAAAGTATTTACCATGGCTCAAGGGTGTCTATACAAAGCCCTTTGGAAAAGGGGCTTTCCTGGGTACCTACCTGGAAATCCACCCCCAATGATGAAGCTCAACTTGGCCTGAGCAAGGCTCGGTCTTCAATATTTCGTAATTTGAAATATGAGATTGCTGCTTTTGCGCTTCAAATCAGGTTGATTCATTCATTTGAGGGGTCCGGGTATTCTCTTTAAGAAGAGGGTCTTATGGCCTTTGGATAATACTGAGAATACTCGTGCTGCCAATGAGGACTTGACTTTTTATGAGTCGAATCCCGGTCATATTTTCGATGACCTTGGTTCTGCACTCGAGTCAGTTCCTCTGCGGGCAGGTAAGCTTGCTCAAGTGATTGAGGGAGCCGGAAAGAGACGCTTCTTTGTTATAGGAAACTATATAAAGCAGCGTCTTCTGTATCCAGTACATGATTGGGCTATGAGGGTTTTATCCCGAATTCCCAGTGATGGTACCTTTGACCAATCACGCCCCATCCGTCGTTTGGCGTCGTATAAACCAACTGTTTTATATTCGGTTGATTTATCTTCTGCTACCGATAGATGGCCCGTTGTCATTATCCACGACCTTATGGCGTGTATATTTGGACAGACGATGGCATCATGTATAGTCAACGGTTGCTTAGCTCTTAACAGCTGTTATGTTGGTCGGCCTATTTCGGCTGTTCCTCGTAACATCTGTTTCGTGGCTGGGCAGCCGCTTGGATACTATGGCTCTTGGGCACTTTTCTCGCTATCCCACCATTATATGGTGTGGTTAGCTGCCGAATTAGTCTATCCCAATCGGGGTCGGTTCTCCCGGTATGCTCTCCTCGGTGATGATATAGTAATCGCCGATGAGCAGGTCGCTATTAAGTACTTAGAACTATTACAGAAACTCCAAGTCCAGGTCTCTGAAGCAAAAAGTATTGTTTCGAGAACTGGGGCATTGGAATTTGCCAAGCAGTTTTGGGTTGATCGGATTCAAAAGAATCTATCGCCCGTCTCTGCGAGGGCTGTACTTAGTTCTAATTCCTTAATCGGTATTTCATCTCTTGCTGGCAAGTACAGTATGTCTTATACTGCTGTACTGCGCTTCGCGGGATGTGGATACCGGGTCTTAGGTCGATGTCGGTCTGCAACTCTATCCAGAAAAGCGTTGCGACTTCGTCGACTTTGGGACCGTCGACCTTCCGGATCGGATCAACTACCTTTAGATTTGTGGCTTGGTCGGGGAAACCCTATAAGCCCTTATCTAAAGGGGATTCTAGTTGATCTGGTGAAGGAGCGGATGAAGCCTAAACAGCTTGTCCTGCCTCCTGAGGGATACTTACTAGATGGTGAAGCCGCTAATGCGGAATACACGTTGTATCATCATTGGATGAAATCGTGGTTAGCTTATCTGAAATGGTATGCTCTTCTCCACCTTGTTCCCGATCCGTCTCTCCATTTCGTCTTTTCGCCTCCGGTCATCTGCAGGACTTACTACCGAACTGATTATTTATCAAATTGAACTTAGAATCTCTTTTTATTATTTAGAATAAAGATTATATATATGTCCAATCTCTAGTGGTTGGTTCCACCACCAACTTTCTTTATGTGAGTGATTTTGACCCTCCAAAAACTTCTTTAGCCACTCTTTTAATGCAATTGGCCATCTTATACCACATCACAGAGGTTTCCTCCTAGAAATTCCAATTCCCTTCCTCTCAGGTTCCTTCACTTAGAGTAGTGAGTCTAGTGAAAGCCGAAGACTAAGAAGAAGGTACGGAAGCCGGGAAAACAACTTCATACGATAACGATACCATTCACAGCGGAACAAGAAGAATCACAGTCGACTCAACTTGTGAGCTATCGAGTCAGTAGCTGCCTTTAGAGCTGGGATAAGTAGGGTAGCAGCTAAGATTAACTAAAAGGACTCTCCTCCACCCTCAACCTAGACATAGAACTCCTAGCTCTGGAGCTGATTGAATTGATTCTTTTTAACAGCTACCGACTCTTCTCCTCGCTCACTGAACTCCCCCAACCTAGTCTCAGGTCAAGAGATAAGAGCGATGGCATACCTTGAGTCACTCGCTTCCATTGGGCGAACTTTCATCTGTTCTCTTTCTGCATTGATGGTAAAATGAACCACCTTGCTTATCACAGTTAGGTCGATTTTCTTTGATCCTCATCTCGTTCAGTTTTGATGGCCGCTAGTTCCTTTATTACGTCGTTCAGTTCAAAGAGGGGTATCTGCTTTCAATGTTTGCTAGTAAACAGTGGTTGTCTCTTTGATACCCTCTCGCCCTTACATACAACGTATTTGAGTGCTTTTTACTAATATGATACGCTGTGAAGTGAAGAGTCGATTCAACAAGAGTCTTCAGACCTCTCCTTGCCCTATTAGTCTAGGCGTTCACTTCCTCTCCTTATAGTCGAGATTTTCAAGCTCCCTCCGATGCCAAAGGATGATTGACTTGGTCTAAAGCACAGTTGCAATTGGGGAATGGTTGGTTCGAAAAACTTTTATATTACCTAAGTGAACTCTCCCTATAGTATAGGCGCAAAACTCTAATATCGCCTATTGACGGGTCTAAACCGGGGCAATCTCTTCGACATAGCATCAGTGCCTCAAGTTCCCTTACAAGGCCGAGAAAAGAGTTTTCTTAGTTGTTCTCCTTTCCTTAAGTCGTTCACTAGTCTTCCTTGGGACTCTTGAAGTCCCTTTAAGTCGAGTGAAGCGAGGGCTTATCCTAAGAGAAGCTTTATTAGGGCGGGGCGAAACGGCTTTAGCTGTCTGCTTTACTTACCGAAAGCAAGGAAGGCGGCTAGTCTATTCAACTCTTGTCCAGTCCAGTCTATTCTTGTTAGAGTGTCCTCCAGAGACAAGCCTACCGGGAAAGAAAGCAAGCTAGTCCAGCAAGTCTATTTTTCTATACCTTTCTCTACTGGAGGGGAACTCAAGTTGATATGCTGCCAGCTCTACTAGAGTGGCTTGTTCGAGTTAAGGCTGCCGTAGCTCGCCCCCTTATCGCCACTTTATCCTCTATACACCCGCCGAAGCGAATCCTTTTCTTTCGAAAGAGCCAAGCCAGTAAGTAGAAGGGCAAGGACAAGAGCAAGGGAGAGGGAAAGAGAGGCATTACCAGAAGGAAAGTAGTCCAACTCAATGTCTTACACACCAGTGGCATTTGAATGAAAGTAGTAAGTAAGTGGCCAATAATCTTCGAAGTTGGAGTAACCAGCTCAAGGCAGCTCATGGGAATTTCTTTAAGTAAGAAAGATCCCCAGTGTCATCCTCTTCGTCTTCTCTCAGGAAACAAGTGACGAGAGGGTAGAAAAGATAGGACCACTCTTTAGTAAGATAGCAGCCAGTGAATAGCAGCAGAGTTGAACTCATTCTCTCCATTCAGAGAAGAGCCCAGAGACAGGGAAGGAATATTCTTTTCTATGAGACCTGAGCAAAGTCTCGGCTAAAATCTCAAGACTTGTGAAGAAGTAAAGAAGTCGCAGCGGAAAGACTGAACCGATTCTTCGGAGAACATTACGCCGGAAGGACTAGAGCAGGTACGACAGCCTTAAGGACCACTCCGCTGCTAATCACCTTCGGACTTGAGGACTTCGCGTCACATGCTATCAAAGGGTCTTCCGTTCCGCTCTACTTAACCATTTCAGCTACCCCCCAAATAGAATTGGGATTGGGATCCAACAATTAAATAATAAGAAAAGGACTAGAAAAACCAAAAACGAGTGCCAGAAAGAATGGCTAGTGCCAAAAGCTTTGCCTAAAGCTATGAGTCGAGAAAGATTTGTATTTGACAGATAGCTTACCCCGCTTTCACGGGAAGGGTCGCTTCGCTCGGGGAGTGGAGGGGAAGGAGAGGACAGGTTCAGCCGTCAGAGTAGAGTAGTGGAGCCAGAAAGGAAAGAATGAGTAGTACCAGAGAGACATGTTACGAAAGAAGGAATCACCAACCAGAAACAAATACAAGTGACGAAGCCTAACCAGAACTACTTGACTTTCACCACTCGACTTTACTCGCTCCTGAAACAAGACTTAGTCTACGACCAACTGCCTTACCGCTGTTAGAGTGCCGAGATAGAAGGCACCTTCTTCATTAGCAATAGCAAGCGTAGACCATGTTTGAGCAGGGTTGCTTGTAGAATAGAATCGGTTGTTCTGAGTTCCGGTTGGTGATCCGTACTGAGCGGTGTAATCTAAAGCATCTCAATCGAGGTCGTCTTTCTTTGATGTTGTTTCTCAATTTGCATGTGATTCGTCAAACTATTTTGAACGCAATTTGATCTTCCCAGTGCCTACTGCTAGGTTTCTTTATCAGGATGCGCTACCAACAACTCCTCTTGTAGTCTATTGGTATACGAGACGAGGACGGGGTGTTTGGGGGTCTCATAGATAGATAAACATAGAATCGGAAGCCTGAATCGCGAGTCAGGGGTGGATGGTGCTCAAGCTTATCAACTTAGTAAGCTGTCTACCCTTCCTTGCTTTATTCCGGAAGTTGGATGCATGGCTTCGAAGCCTGCTTCAATTGCCCAATGTTGCTCTAATCCTTCTCATTGAAGCTCTCCCTCATGCGCCCGGGTCTCCGTCCCACATTGTAAAGCATCTTGCTGTGGCTCTATGTCGCTCTAGAGCCCTTCTAAGATGAGTCTCTATCTGCGACTGAATCCGTCTTAGGTAGCCCAAGGAGTTAGCTCGCATCGCTCCCATTCTGACCCTATTCAGGAATGGGATAAGGGATGTCGTTGGTGCATCTTCTTCTGTTCCTATTGTTCTTATGGTTCTCTTCTTATGTTCCGAAGTAAGATGGAAGGCTTGCTAGGCAGGGGGTTAAGGGGGAACCCCATTTGGTTCGATCCAAGCAATTAGATAAATCCCTCCCTCTATGGGAAGCCAAGGTCGAAGCTAAGCCCGAAGCTGCATTTGATTCCGCTTTCTTTGCTGTTGATCTTCGTCGAATTCCCATTCTTGGTCAACGAATGACCAGTCTTTCCTTGATTTCCCGAGTTGTCTCAAGAGCCTACTTATTCGCGTTCTGGTTCTTACCAATCTCCCTCTCAAACAAAGGAGGGAATGGGTTTGGCAGTTGGTTTCTAGAGAGCGGATGTTGACTAGCTAGGCTAACAAGGAAAGCAGATGTCGGTGAAGAAAGTAAGAGATTGATTCTGTGTTAATCCGTAAGGTCATATCAAGGGGTTTGTCTCCTAGTTTCTTTCACAGGTCTTAGTTCCGCTAGTCCTAGGAGCGAGAGGCCTTCTAACGTAATGGGTGGCCCCTATCAGATAAAGGCGACCAGGGAATAGGTATAATATACAGTTCAGCCGATCTTGAAGACGATTAATTTGGATCAACAGCGGATAAATTATCCGCTGCAACCTATCTTATCTGCTGATCTATCCGCTGCTTCGATTCCAGCCGAAAAGCGAACTGATTGCTTTCTTAGCTGCTACTTGGCTAAACATTTCTAGAAGGGATCCCGCTCTCCGCGAGACTGCATTCGATTGGTATGCCAGGTTGCCTGCTGGAACCATAAACTCGTGGGCGGATGGCGTTACTTCCTCCTGAAGATCTTCTTTCGCTCTTAAGGGCTCTAGAGGGCCTTAGAATGCGTTTTTCTGATCATTATGTGGAATCATCCATATGAATCAAGAAACGTTGTTTTAAAAGTAAGAATCTAGCTGTCTGCTGGCACGTAAGTGACTAGAGCGAAGCGAGAGGCCTTCTAACGTAATGGGTCGCTCGCCCCTATCGAATAAAGAAAGGAGAGGGTTGAAGCTCCTACTGTTCTCGCGCCAGCTATGGTATTTAGAATTCTTATGCTGGATTACTTCTAATATATGACACCGAAACAGAATGTGTAAAATTCCACACTAAGACGGTGCCAGCTACGTATGTTGGGGGATCGACAAAATCCTGCAAGCTCGCGGAGGGATTGAGGGCAACCTCTGCGTACCATTTGAGGTAATTTAAGTACATATGCATCCGTAGAGAGACCATTCTAAAAAGTCCTTCATACCAGGGGAAGTGCTCTGCGGGGGGTTCAACAAACAGGCTCGCGAGGCACAAAGTGAGTGATCTCGCAGCCGCTGGATAACACTCTCGAGCACCACCGGTGAAGGTATGTAACCTAACACAGAGTTTAACCAGAGAATAGGCGCCAAAATGCCGGGGAGTCTCATAACCAAAAGCCTGCGTGCACGTTACCGTGTTTACGACTGTTCATAGGTCGAGAGCATGCCTGAAACCCAAAAACGGCTACACGTAAAAGTGTAGACACCCTCACGCTTGGTAGTTCAAATTCAATTGTACCATCCAATGGGGTTAGGTGACGACTTTCTTATTCTTAATAGCGGGGACACAGCGTCCGAGCATCCATTAAGGCGAAGCGAAACTGCTTGGCATACTCACAAGCCCCGGCCTTAGACGTTCCTTAGACGAGAAAGGGGGTGCGGGAAGCGGGAAAGGGGAGGTTTAGGTTGGAGAAGAGTTACGCCTTGGGGCTGAGACTGTAGACGGGAAAGAAAGTTGGCTCAGTTGGCGAGGAGAGGGGTAGTACCTACCAACAACACATAAGTGAGTGAGCTATAAACTCTAATAGCGCCTCGACTATAAGGCGTATAAGCACCTAAGGGGATGGTCTAGTAACAGGGATATCTATACTAAATAATAAAGGGCTAGAAGAGATAGCTTACTTTACTAAAAAATCATTATTACTGAACTGAAACTGAAAATAGCGTAACGAGAAGAGATTCGCGAACTGAACTGAATTCTAATTCCGTATTTCAATCTAAAGCTTAATTAAGTTTCTTAGTCCGGAGATCTAACTAGTATGCTCTCTTCGGAGCCCTTCCTCGATAGAGGAATGAGTGCAACTAAGCTAAGCCAGAGAGTCGTTGGCTCTTCTGCTCTGTTGTATGTTAGGTCAGACTGTTATAATAAGTGCTATGGCTTAATTCTTCCCTATCTGAAGCAATGGCTTTAGATTAGACTAGCCTGAATATGATAAGGGGGAGCAGGATAAAGGGCTTTAGAAAACCTATACAAGTATCGAAACAAGCCTCCTTCCGGGCGAAAGCCGGTGCGCTACCGATCCGATACAAGTACCGGATTGAACTTTAGAAAGCCTATAGCCAATACACCCACGGTTCCAGGTCCAAACGCGGAGGCAGTTACAGTCCTT